GGTGTAGATGCCGCAGGCAAGTCGGGCGGCCGGCCAACGTTGCTCCAAAAAAGGAACCAAGAATTGGTGAGGGAGTGGCTCTCTCGGCGTGTGCTCCTCTATCATACGGGGGAACTTCGAGCGAGCGTAAGGCCCCATTCCTCACTCTCGAACGACAATTTCGCCACACACTCCCTTCCCCCATTGCAAATTGGGGGTTTTTCGTCGGGAAAAAAACAATCGACTAGACAAACCACCTGTGATGTGATATTTCTCCAGTCACACACAAACACAGCAGTAGTCACTTCAGCAAATACAAATATGCGCTCTTTGAAAACTCTCATCGACTACAATATTGCGTACATCCTCAAACACGGCAGTAGTCACTTCGCAAAATACAACTATGCTGCACTGTTAAAAAAAAACAATAACGTACGTTATTGCCAGCCAGCTCAACAAGCTCCCTCCTTCGAGGACGAGAAAAACAAACAACAACAACAACGACGACGACGACGACGACGACGACAACACACCGAGACACACGCAGTGCTCCGCTAACGCTATCAAGTCATTAACAATGTACCCTTACCTATGCACAAAGACGACTACATCGCGGCAAATGAAAAACACCAAGAAACGCTGCCGCTGCCGCCACCGCACCTGAGGGCATACTCCACCGCCGCTCCCAGACAACGCCGCCGCCGGTGGGCTGGCACCGGCACCCGCCGCCGCGCCGCCCACGCCTTCCGCCGCCCGAGAGCCCCCCCCCGCCCCCCCCGGCCGCCGCCGCCGCCGCCGCCGCTGCTGCTGCTCGGGCCGGTGCCTAGCCCTGCTTGTTGTTGTTTACTTCCTTGTCCTGGTCGGGTGGCGCCGGTGCCGTCCCCTACCCCTCGCAGGAGCTTCAGGACCTGTAAAAAAAAAAAAAAAAAGACGCAGAACGTGTTCTGCTTCATCCATTGTCAACAATACGAAAATCTGAAAAAAGTAACGATAGGTAGGAGGGTGTGCACGACCGGGGAGAGGATGACTGACTGGGGGGGGCACGCTGGTTGGGTTGGCCGCTGCTCGTTTGGTCCGGTTCTCTGCCGGGCTTTCCAAAACACGCTAGAAGCGTTCACCTGGGGGTGTCCTGACCTCGTGACGGACGGGGTGGCGATGGGGAGCAGC